AAAGCTATGTTCTGTGCAGCTTTCAGGTATAAGTTGTAAGCAAAGTTATGAAGTTGAATACAAGTATCTCTGATGGAAACAGAATTTTCTTTCAAGTTTACCCACAGTCACCTTTCCTAAACACAAGTATTCTACATATGTTATAGTTCAAATATCCATTGCATTTCAGTAAGGGGGTGCTGAATTGATGTAAATGAAATGTTCTTATTTTACAGGCACTGGTGAGAAACTTTCTCCCGATAAATGTTGCAACCTGATATCTTGTCCTGCAGAGGTTGTTACTCCGTTGTGTGTTTTCTGTTTTCGAACTGAGTTTAATATCATTTAACTCATTCCTCTCCAGATGGTTCTGAGCGAAGTGATATTAAACTCAGTTTGAAAACAGAAAACACACAACGGATTAAGAACCTCTGCAGTACAAGATATCAGGTTGCAACATTATTTATCGGGAGAAAGTTTCTCACCAGTGCATGTAAAATAAGAACATTTCATTTACATCAATTATTAATTCTAGCTATATGTGTGAACCAGCGATTTTTTGGGAGGGAGCAGTAAAAAAAATGCTGGTGGTATAATAGCATACTTTCTTACCGACAGGGCAGGTGGTATGATAGCATACCTTCTTACCGACCGAGCCCTCGGCACTGGCTGCAACCTTTTTTTTTGTTAAGAGAATTGCAGCTGGCCACCGCGGCAGCAGTGATGCTTCATGACGTCATGTTGGCTGTGTTGCCTGCCAATAGCATTGAGTTGCCACCCCCTGGCCATGACACCTCGGTGAAACGCTCCTGCCATCTATGTTTAGCTTACATGACTAAATTAAAAATGACCTCCAGGGCCGTGAGCAGAATCGGTAAGAATGTATGCTACCTTAGCAACTATTTTGAGTGCTCGCCCTTCGCCCCCCTCAAAATGGTTTTTTCGCTACTAGCAATAAATACTTTTAGATGTCTTGTACTGCAGTCCATCTTTCCTTCTGGCGTTCCCACTAATAACCTATATGCATTCCTCGCCTTCCCATTCGTGCTACATGCCCTGCCAACCTCATCCTCCTCGACTAGTGATATTGAACACAGTTCAAAGTATTCATTTCCCCACCAACTTATTTCCATTTCTGAACTGTGTTCAATATCACTAGTCGAGGAGGATGAGGTTGGCAGGGCATGTAGCACGAATGGGAAGGCGAGGAATGCATATAGGTTATTAGTGGGAACGCCAGAAGGAAAGATGGACTGCAGTACAAGACATCTAAAAGTATTTATTGCTAGTAGCGAAAAAACCATTTTGAGGGGGGCGAAGGGCGAGCACTCAAAATAGTTGCTAAGGTAGCATACATTCTTACCGATTCTGCTCACGGCCCTGGAGGTCATTTTTAATTTAGTCATGTAAGCTAAACATAGATGGCAGGAGCGTTTCACCGAGGTGTCATGGCCAGGGGGTGGCAACTCAATGCTATTGGCAGGCAACACAGCCAACATGACGTCATGAAGCATCACTGCTGCCGCGGTGGCCAGCTGCAATTCTCTTAACAAAAAAAAAGGTTGCAGCCAGTGCCGAGGGCTCGGTCGGTAAGAAGGTATGCTATCATACCACCTGCCCTGTCGGTAAGAAAGTATGCTATTATACCACCAGCATTTTTTTTACTGCTCCCTCCCAAAAAATCGCTGGTTCACACATATAGCTAGAATTAATAATTGATGTAAATGAAATGTTCTTATTTTACATGCACTGGTGAGAAACTTTCTCCCGATAAATAATGTTGCAACCTGATATCTTGTACTGCAGAGGTTCTTAATCCGTTGTGTGTTTTCTGTTTTCAAACTGAGTTTAATATCACTTCGCTCAGAACCATCTGGAGAGGAATGAGTTAAATGATATTAAACTCAGTTCGAAAACAGAAAACACACAACGGAGTAACAACCTCTGCAGGACAAGATATCAGGTTGCAACATTTATCGGGAGAAAGTTTCTCACCAGTGCCTGTAAAATAAGAACATTTCATTTACATCAATTCAGCACCCCCTTACTGAAATGCAATGGATATTTGAACTATAACATATGTAGAATACTTGTGTTTAGGAAAGGTGACTGTGGGTAAACTTGAAAGAAAATTCTGTTTCCATCAGAGATACTTGTATTCAACTTCATAACTTTGCTTACAACTTATACCTGAAAGCTGCACAGAACATAGCTTTTCAGTTACAT